CGGTGTTATGGCTCCACCTGGCAGGAGACACAGGAATTACTTAGCTAAAAATAGTGTTAAAAAAGAAGCAATCAATGTTTTATATGTAAAAAGGTGTCATCAACTGGAAGAGTGTTTCCAGTTCATCTTATTACTATCCAGGATTTGTAGTGCCCCAGTAATACACCTCCAGAATCAAAGGAGAAGCTTTCTCAGACTCAGGTTAGAGATTAAGTGCAAAACAAGGGACAGAAAAGAGATACAAACAGTCATGTGAAGGAAAGCAGAGATAGGTGAGCATGAGAGATGATGGGTCACCAACATGACTGACCTTGCAAGTATGTTCTGGCCTCCCCCCGAAGGGGACAGAGGGGAAAAATTTGAAGGAGGTTGAGGAGATAGGTTTGTGGGTGGTCTTCAAGCAAGATGTGTGAGAACCAACTTACTTTGTGTGAGCCAAAGAAACAGCTGAATTGATTAGTTTGTCAGTATGGGTCTAACAGAGGTGGAAGCCAACCCCAGCAGTAAATGAGTGACACTGGAGAAGTATCTGGGGGGGGGAGATAGCTGTAACAGTGGTCTGGACCAGCAGAGGATGAGACTGCTGGCAAAAGCCAGCGAAAAGGATGTTGCAGCAGCTGAGCTGTGGGTCTGGACAGGAGTTTCAGCTATGCAAATAAGTAAGGAAAGTCACTTCTGAGAAATAACAAGCTATAGGGTTCATCTGGCATCTGAAGAATCTGCCTTTATTAGAAAAAAAATTAAGCGGTAGGCGTAGGAGTCACAGTTCACTGAGAAGTTATGGCCTCTAATTGCAAGCCGTATACAGAGAAAAGATAGATGTGAGTGTTTCAGTCTGGAAAATTGAACATGGTTAAAGCATTTACTAGGGGCCTTCAGCAACAGTAACCCTGAGCATACCTGGCAAAAGAAATCAAGCTGTTAAGTCTAGCATCGGGATGTGCTGGTGGGGCTCTTCCCCAGTTCTGGCTCACTGCTTCAACAGGGCAGAAATGCAGCCTCGGTAAGGGGAGCAGAAATACAAAAAGTAAAACATTTTTGCTATGTTGAAAGACCCTTCACTTTAAATACTTACGATTATTCCATGATAGCCACCGGAGGGCACTCTACACTTGCTGTTGAAAGTCCTTTACACTGATACCTGCACGACTAGTTTGTTCAGCTCGTTGCAAATTTAATTGCATGTTGGTACCTGTGCCTCGACATGGAGAGCTAGACAGCATGACAGGTCTCCCTTCACTCCAGACGATTTGCTTGTCTTTGTAAAATATCCAACGTGATAAAGTGCCCGTGAGTGGAGCAGGGAACGAAGAGGTGAAATTCGTTGCAGATGTACTGAGCCCATCATGAGAATTTCTCCAGTTTTAGAGCAATGCTTTCAAAAAATGAACAAATGATAACCAAGTGCTGCTTTGGAATGAGAAAAATCACTCAGCAGCCTGATTTCTTACTGTCTTCAGAAGTGTTCTCACAGAAAACTTGATTTCTACTTGAATACAGATTGAATTTGTGACTTATTCATAAGACCAAACTTACAAAGTGGCCTATGCTGATGATATCTATTATGATATTATATACAAGTAGTTTCTAAGTATTTAGAGAAAAATTAGATATTTTCCTATATTATTAGATTGTTTATGACTAAATTTTGCTGGTTCTAATATATGGTTAAAAAAAATTCAAAGTACATCACAGTACTGGATGTACTGCTTGAATGTTAATAATAATAATGTCTTCTTATGGTTGGTGATAGTAGTATGAATATTAAGACATGTCTCATACTCTCTTCAGGAATGCTGCTAGATGAAGAAACATAAAGAGTCTTAAAGACCAGTTGGTGATAAAACTAAAAAAATTTTGTAGCTTTTAGTACTTTGTGTTTACAGATATGTTAATGCAATACATGCGAATTAATTCATATTTTATCCAACATCAAACAGACAACTTCTCTTTTCTCATGCTTTCTTCTTTCCCCGAGTATCTTAGAGAAGCTAAGAAAGGTCATCTGCTCTCTAAGCTCAAAATCTCTGACTGAGAAAGAAGAAAAGCTTGCATGTACTATAGATAGGTGCAGGTGTGGATATATAACTCATAGAAACTGAAGATTTATAATTCTGAGTAGTAGTACAAATGAGTGAGATGAAACAACAAGTTTTGGGTGGCTTTAAAAGATAAAGGAGAGCATGTGGGAGCAGGATAAAGGAAAATGAAGATGAAGGGGAAGTGCTTTCGAGGAGAGGTAGAAATGAAAAAAGAAGACAAGAAACTGGAGAAATGAGGGAGAAAATGGCCCTTTGAAGAACCAGGGGAGCACACACCGTCAGTGTGCTCCCACACTTTCAGAACAACATCGAGCTTTTTCAATTGTAAGTCAAATTACCAGCCACTGGTAAATGTGCTTTACAAACAGATATCGCTGATCTGATCAGACACCTTTCCCATGCAGAGAGAAATCAGCAGATTACTTGTATTTCTTTCCTAATATTCCTCTCATCTTGTTCTCTCTCTTTCATTTAGTGTCCAAGTAAAACCTATGATCCGCTCATAAAGTCCACCCGAGACTTTCCCGATGAAGTCATTAGCTTTATTAAGCGCCACCCACTGATGTACAAATCCATTTACCCAGTGGCAGGAGGACCAGTATTCACTCGAATCAACGTGGACTATCGGCTGACGCAGATTGTGGTGGATCATGTCATGGCAGAGGATGGGCAGTATGATGTTATCTTCCTAGGAACAGGTATGAGAGAGGATTTCCACTATCACTCTGCACAAACCACACCCTTTAGGAACACTTTTACTCCAGTAGGGCCTGAATAAACCTGTTGATTAACATCTTTTTCCTAAACACCTAAGCACCTTTGGAAAGCACTTAAGATGCTCCTGATTCTGTGCCAGGACTTCATGCAAGTGCTAAAATGAGATTAATTTGTCAGCTCAAGAGGTTGCTACTATTAAGATTTTAATGCCTCCTGGTCCATAGGTGATAAACCATTAAAAGGTCAGAGTACTTGGACTTTCTTAACCTCTGAGTACCATTCAGTACTTGCCTTTACATTACATGGTCATCTGGCTCCAATTCCTGATGGCAGCACATCAATAACCAATTAAAAGAAAAAAAAATTAATCTTAATAGCTTCAAGGAGTACTTCCTGTTATCAGAAGTGGCATAGTGCTTCAGCATTAAATCTCATGTGACCCTGAACAGCAAAGAAAGGTTTAAGATTGAACCTAAGGCAACAATTCCGCTTAAATACTTTTAAAGATAATACTTAGCAACACGAGTAACTCCAAACAAGAGGACCAGGATTGAATGGAGAGGTTAAAGTACTCTGTCAGGGAAGATACCTGGTTTGCAGTTTTTCTATGGATAATTATGTATCTCTTCACATTTTTATGATAGTTATATGCCTTAAGGAAAAAGTCTAGTTTTACCAGAGCAACTAAATTTAGAATCACTGGATGAATCACTCAATAGAATGATAGACTAAGAAATATTAGGATACCTACTAATAACATTTCCCAAGTAATAATCTTACTGCACCAGAATTTCTTGTTCTTAATCCACAATTCAAAGTCCTCTCACTAGTAACAGGTCTTATAAAGCACTTCTCACTGGTAGATCTGAACGCTTTACTAAGGAGGTAATTGTCATTATCCCCATCTCACAGCAGGTGAAGCTAAGGTACATGGAGGTGAAAAGGTTTATCCAAGGTCAGTGGGTGAGCTACTGACACGAGCTGCAGAGAAATTAAGATTTCCGTTTGAACCCCACTCCAGTACTGTTGGGTTGCACATCATTTTATGTGGCCTATAAGCAAATTTGGTGCCGTATAGTGTAGTTTGTTAGATATGGAGATTCTGAAGTGATTTATGGAAAGGAGTGAATAGTCACAAAGCGTTGCCTCTTATAAAGCGTAGGTTGTCTCAGTCTTCCGGAGCTTCATAGCTGTGTTATGAAACGCGCGAGTTCAGCAGTAGCCTCTCTTGAACCATTTATGTCTTTCAGCTCAATCCCTCTCACAACTCTTGTCTTCCAAAACTACATGGTGTGAGAGTCCCTCTGTGATTCCCACAAGTCAGGTACAGTGGTGTCAGAGAGAAAAGCACAGTTTCATAAAAAAGAGTATTAAAGAGCTGTTTGCTCCTCTGGTGCCTCAGAGGGCTGGGAATAAGCTTTAGCTATGATGACAGAAAATCCTTGTTGCTTTCTGAAGGCAATCTTTAATATAGTCAACAGAGAAGGAAAGAGAACACATTCCCAAGCTGTTAGATGCCTAGGATTTGAGGGTTCTCACTGAAACTTACTTTCCTTCTGGTAACACTGAGAAAAAGGTGTTCAAAAGTTAGCTGTCCAGAAAGAGGAGTTCACTAGCTAAAATGTACAAAATATTCTTTTAGTGGCTATAGAGGTTGCTTTCAGATGTTTTCTATCCTCTACTATAAAATTTGTCACAGGAATAAAGCTATATTGAGGGATCAGAAACTTGAGTAGTCCAGGGTAACTGTTACTACCCAGCACCAGCGCTGATTCCTTCTGAGTTAAATTGTCTGGATTGGAGGTGCCAGGGCCAGCGTGTACCATGCAGTCACTAGGTGGCACTCTGTAATACGCAGATGTTTCTTTCTCTGCAGTGCCTTCCTTTAAAGTGAGTTTTCTTTTCCCGAAGTGCATGTTTTTGTTCTATTTTATCCTCTAAACTCATCCTATGGAAAAAAAAAAACAACAAAACAACCAATCAAACAAAAACTTTAAAATAAACTTTATAAAGATAAAATTTCAAATATTATGTAGAAAGACTGAATACAGATATAACAGATAGCCCTGGAGATCAGCTCTGGAGTCCCCAACACAAGAAGGACATGGAGATGCTGGAGTGGGTCCAGAGAAGAGTCACGAAGATGATCCGAGGGCTGGAGCACCTCTGCTGTAAAGACAGGCTGAGAGAGTTGGGGCTGTTCAGCCTGGAGAAGAGAAGGCTCCGGGCTGATCTTATTGCAGCCTTCCAGTACCTAAAGGGGGCCTACAGGAAAGCTGGAGAGGGACTTTTTACAAGGGCATGTAGTGACAGGACAAGGGACAACGGCATTAAATTGAAAGAGGGCAGATTTAGATTAGATCTAAGGAAGAATTTTTCACTCAGGGGCTGGTGAGGCACTGGAACAGGTTGCCCAGAGAAGTTGTAGATGCCCCATCCCTGGAAGTGTTCAAGGCCAGATTGGACGAGGCTTTGAGCAACCTGGTGTAGTGGAGAGTGTCCCTGCCCATGGCAGGGGGGTTGGAACTAATTAAATTGAAAGAGGGCAGATTTAGATTAGATCTAAGGAAGAATTTTTCACTCAGAGGCTGGTGAGGCACTGGAACAGGTTGCCCAGAGAAGTTGTAGATGCCCCATCCCTGGAAGTGTTCAAGGCCAGATTGGACGAGGCTTTGAGCAACCTGGTGTAGTGGAGAGTGTCCCTGCCCATGGCAGGGGGGTTGGAACTACATGATCTTTGAGGTCTCTTCCAACCCTAACCATTCTATGGTTCTATGATTCTGTGATTTTGAGCGGCAGCCTGAGCAACCTGATCTAGTTGGAGATACCCCTGTTCCTTGCAGGGGGATTGGACTAGATGGCCTTTGAAGGTCCCTTCCAGCCCTAACCATTCTATGATTCTATGATTCTATGATCAGAATCTTATTATATGTTTGAATGTGTGCAACCAACTTGTACATATGCAGGCTTTGGCAATTATGTCCAACAAACAAACCAACCAAAAGGATAATACGTAAGGCAAACTGAAATACTTCTGACTTTGATTGGTAATATGATCTTCTTTGGGAAAACAAGAATGAAAATCTCATTCTTTCCATTATAATGTATTATTTTTCAGCATTTCAATGCTGTGTGTAGCGCTTAGACTAAGCTGTGCTGTGTCATTTCCACTCTGCACAGCCCAGCACCCAGCCTCCTTCCCCTGAGCAGTTTTTAAGGGTTGTTTTTAAGGCCATTCAAGATTCACTAGTGTGTAGTGGTCTGAGATGAAATGAGCAGCTATTTTTTTCACCAAGCAGAAATTTAGGTTAAAATTAATAAATAGATTTAACTTTAAAAAATTCTCCAGATAACTCCAAAGAAGTAATTTCTGCAATGATTAAATGAAGATTTTGAGGATGAATGGAGATTCTTGTTCAAAAATTTCCCTAAAATGAAAAGATAAATGTAACAAGTGCATTGCTTGTCTCCTCACATTAAAATGAAACCTACTTCTGATTAGGGTTCTATACTGGATGAAAATTAATTCGGTAAAAAGAGGAAATAATTTTCTGCCAATTTAGTCCGCTATGCTGGACCTCTTTGGAGTCAGCTGGGCTCCAATTCTGGCTCAAGAAAACATACAGAAAATTCTTGCTGGCATCATGGACATGCTTGCATGTGTGTGTATGTTTGTGCAGCAGTAGAGTTAGACCATGCCTGTCAGGAGCAGCCTACAATTGTGTTGGCTCAGCTGTACAGTAAAACCATAAATGTATTGTATAGAGCTATGTAGATGGAAATAGATGCAGATAGGAATAGATCTTGTTTGAAGGCTTCATCTTCAGGGCTAAGTTTTTAGGTTTTATTTTTCCTTTGTAATCTGAGTTTACAGCATCACTTGTTAAAAAAAAATAGAAAAGAAAGGAATCTGAAATCAAGTTCCTGTGAAGTATGAAATGGAGAGACACGTGTACTGAAACATAACTGTGGATTTTACATGATGAATGTTCGTTTCAGACATAGGCACAGTCCTGAAAGTTGTGAGTATCACAAAGGAGAAGTGGACTAAGGAGGAGGTGGTCCTGGAAGAGCTGCAGATATTCAAGGTGAGCATTAACAGCCACTACATCAATTAAATATTATTCAGGAGACTTTAAGGCCCAAACTGGCTTTGTCTGTCTTGTTGTTTGTTTACTGGAAATAGTTCAAGTTTCCAGAGGGACACTATGTAAATTTTTAAATGCCTTAATATTCTTTGGGTAAGTCAATTGAAAAAAGTACAAAACCAAACAGACCATGATTTTTCAAATTCATAGAAAGTCTCATTTATCCAACCTTGTTCTGATTCGCAATCTTATTATGAGCCCATTTTTAAAATTTATATTATTTTATTTTTAATGCAAATTTTCCTATTGTCTCAGCTTTGGGACTATTCCTAGTACAATTATATATATTTTAAAACAAACAAGCAAACAACATTCCACAGGTGTAGAGAAATTCTTTAAAATAATGACTTTAAGAGTTGAAAACACAAAGAAAATCAAACAAAGTTAGTTTTCATTATCAATACTGACTCAATGTTTTTGGCCATTTTCATTTGGGGAGTTGAAAACACAAAAAAAAATAAAACAAAATTAGTTTTCATTATCAATGCTGACTCAATGTTTTTGGCCATTTTCATTTGGTTATTCTGGCTGAGTGATAAATATGAAAAGTAACTGCAGCCCTGCTAACACTGATGTCTTCTTCATAAATAAAGCTTGTAAAAAGCCCAAATCTCCTTTCTATTGCACGGGCACAGTTTCTGATTAACCTCATTGCTGGTGAGGGAGCTGACGTCAACATACCGTTACAGTAGGAAAATGGAGACCTGATTTTCTTTGCCATTTAGTACTTCCTTCTTCATTCTTTGCATTCTTATTTTGCTTTCTTCTCACTCTGTATAGCTCTTTTTCAGTTTTCACCTTACCTTCTTGCCAAATTTTATCTGCATCCATGGCATTTTGATTACTTTCTCACACATCCTCTCTCCTATGTGCTGTACAAGGCCTTAGCCAGAATTTCTGCCCATACTAAATAAATTAATTTGGGACTTAGACACAGCGTTTTCCAAGCTTAAGGACAGGATCTTTAATAATTATATTTCAGAGAGTATATTTATCCATATACCTTCTGATATGTCATGTATGATGAAACTTTGATTTAGAGAATCCTCATGTCTTCTTCCCACTGTCTTGGACACCAATTATAAATATCACTCTGAAAATACCAAGATTACTCAGTGGCCTGCCAAGTAATCAGCAGTTTCAGTATGTGCACCAATTTGCTGCATTCTTAAAACATAATGTCAAGGGCAAATGTACCATATCATATTTAAAACAAAAAAAGATTATTTTTTTTTCTGCTCAGCAGACATTCCTTCACGTTTTTATTGGTAACATTTATAACTGTTACCTCTATGTTTTTGAATCCAGAAAATTGAAGGGAGTGAAGGGCTGAAAAAACATCCCTTATTTCCTTGAACTGCATTAACATTAAACAATAGGCTTAGATTAATCATCTTCTATTAGGCGATAGATAATACCCTGGGCTTTGTCCTGTTCTTACATGAGTCATTGGAAAAAATTTCACTGTCTTTCATAGCAGTGAAATGCATACTGGTGCAGATCTGCCCATGTATCCCTTAACTGCCATCTAAGCCTTTCAAATAGTGTTTAATAAGAATTGAAGTTGATGTGAAGGCTCATTGTGAGTTTCCAGGATGGGGTAGATTGCAAACTCTAAGATTTAAAGCCAGTTGCCTCATAATTAGCAGGGAAAATTTGTGGGAGATGTTTTTGGAAGCATGAATTCAGTGATTTCTGGTTGTTTTGTTTTTAACCTCTGTTTAAACCAAGCAAATAGTCTGTAACTTTATTTACTTTTTGTACATTAAGTTCTATTCTCTTTTTCATTAAGAATAAGGAATGTGTAAACTAATGCACTTTACTAATTCATTTTCAGCACCCTTCATTTATCTCGACCATGGAGATTTCTCAGAAGCAGGTAATCACAAGTTCATTGAATTACTGCAAGATATATGGTACACTGAACATTTAACCTGTTATTTTCAGGGGACACCTGTTACTTACTGGCCAAGCTTTCCATGGATGACTTTAAAAATGTGTCTGGCAAGAAGGTGATATGTTTGAACTTATTTGCCTGCCTAATTCACATTTGCTTACAAACAGTAATTTGTGTGCACAAGCTGGTAATTAGTCATGGAAACAAATCTTTAGTCATATGGTAGTGGGATTTGAGAAGGAAGTCACTGCACATTCATTTTCCGGACACTATAAATGCTTATCTCTTTACACTCTAGTAATAAATTATTATTACTATTGTTGTTATTTTTATTAGTAGTGAAGAGAAATCAGGGCCTCATTGTGCTAAAATTTTTGTGCACACAGACTGAAAAACAGTTCCCCTCCTCTAAAATTGCAGTCTAAATCTGGGTGGTCCAACCCTGGCAGTCGCAGGGGCCAGTCCCATTTGGGAATCTCCCGATGGGAAATGGTTTTACGGCAGCTCCGAGCTCTATGATGGCTACGTGCACGTTCAGGAGGCAGCGTGACGCCAAAGCCATCCCTCTCTGCCCCGCAGAGGTGGCCAGAGCAGCTCTGGCACAACACGCTGAAGGAGGTCTTTTGCCATTCAGGCACGCACAGCACAGCTGGGTCCCATCGCCCCTGAAAAAAGGTGGAAGGCCAGCTGGAAGTATTGCATGAGCCAGCTCCAGCTCAACAACGAGCACTTGGACCACCCTTGTCTCAACAGGCAATCTACTCACACGATGGGGAGAGGCGAGTAATATTATCCCCATCCCACCTAAGGATCACAGGTAGAAGATGAAGTTTTATTCACACGAGGTCATTCCTGGTTCCCAGATTCTTAACGTCACAGCTATCCAGCCACTTGGTTTTAAATGTGCTATCAAACCGTTTTTTTCATGGTTTGCTTCTGATTTTTTATTACAGCACAAATCTAAATGTGTACGGGTGTTGAGTGCTGGTGTCTTTCCAGGGCTGCAATCACCTTTCCTCTCTGCAGCATTGTCAGGGATTGGTGGGGACTAGCTAGTTCACACTGAGCTCTGAGAAACATTTTACAGTAAAGGAGGAATTCTCCCTCCTTTTGTAAAATCCGGGACAAAGTTGAAAGTCTGCAAGTGTGGCACTGAAGAAGGGAACTTTTTAAATGGGCTACTTGGAGAACGCTCCTAATGCATTTGCTTTGCCTGATTTGCAGCAACAATTGTACATTGGTTCCAGGGATGGATTGGTTCAGCTCTCCCTGCACAGATGTCACACGTATGGGAAGGCTTGTGCAGACTGCTGCCTTGCCAGAGACCCATACTGTGCCTGGGATGGAAACTCGTGTTCCAGATATGCCCCCACTTCTAAAAGGTAAGAAAAAACATACAACGTGCTGTAAAAGATCGTGCTGCTTGCAAGAATTTTAGAGGTTCCCAATCAGAATGTGTTGTCTTTTTACCTAGCATGTCATTTGCCTTAAAATTTGATCATACTCTGGCCATGTTTCACATTTCTGCTTAAAGAGCTGTGAAGACAACACAGCTTTGTTTAAGTGTGTGTGACAGTAACTCGGCTACTGCAGCTAACGTCATAAATCCATCACTTGCCTTTTTTTATGCTGAATGCTTTAGGGCACGAGATGCTCAGATGGAGGTCCAGGTTGTGGCTGACTCTGCCCAAGATGCAAGAGCCTCTCTTAAACCTCTGCCTTTTGCGTAGGGGACCGCCGTGGTTATAAAGCGGAGTTTAACACAGAATCCCAGAGAATTCATCAGTAAAATGCATTTAATTCCCAAATCTAAATGAATAGGCTTCTCCTGTGTGATTTAGCTAACCAAATAACTAGACTCAAAGCGTGTCACTCTCATCAGTTGTGGTCTAGCCATGGGAGGGAGACAGAGATTTCAGTACTGTGATTTCACTGTATCCAGAGCAGTTTTTTCCACAGCGAAAGAAGCTTCATCTGAACTTTCTGTACTCATTGTCTAGGACAGCAGCATGAATCTGCATGGAGGGAGAGCACACTGCAGGCTCTAGCAGTGCAGTACCTAAGTTGCTGGATGTGTCTCTTGGAGTTTTTGGCTGATTTGGCTGGAGTTCTGAGCTTGCTCGTTGAGCCAGGGTCCGTCACAGCCTCTTCGTTCCCCTTTGGACAAAGCCTTCCTGACAGTAATTCTTGCAGTGAGGGTCAGAGGTTGCAGTCTGAGCTCAGGCTCTGCAACGAGACTTTCTACCTTAGTGGTTGCAGGGCTGGAACCTGAGCAATTAGACAAACCATTGAAGTTAATGACTCAGGTTATTGTGCCATGGTGTCAAGGAACTTTATGTGTTTGCCCTCAAAGCCAAAGTAAACTAAATTCAGAGAAGCATAAATGGAAGGAGAAAAGCAAGTGTTCAGGCTCACTGCAAAGGTAGTGACACATGAGGCTTGCTGAAGCCTGAGGTGCACTGGGACATGGAGATTGATGGTCCGTGCTTTTTAACAGATGTGCAGTTTCATGGGAAGGACAAAAGTCAGTGGCTCCAAAACAAGGGATGGGTGACTGGCCTTGAATCCTCCAACAGATCAGTTACTTGAATATTTTTCTTCTATGTAGCATCCTGTGCTTCCAGTATGTCTACAGCTTTTACCACAGTGGACAGCTCAGCCTTGGCAATCCGCTCTCCTGCTGAGACAATGCTCTGCACACAGGAGGTCCCACTCCTCTAATCTCCAATGTGGCTGTGAGGGAGGAACCAGTTCCTCCCCAGGTCTCCAATTCTTCTATTAAAAAATTTAAACTTTTTTTATTGTAGCTCTTAGGAGATAAACATAATAATTCACAGAGGAAGATTTTACCTTTTTTTTTTTTTTTCATTGCTATTATACTGAAATTACACTAAATCACAGTAAGTTTAAGTAAAACACCCAGAGATTATGATTCTGTGGTCAGCAGGCAAGTTAGTTGTGGAGCGGAGCAGATCATCTCAGACAATTGTCTCTATTGTTGTTTCTGTCCATAAAGATGAAAGAGAATCAAATTTGTCAATTGTTTGTTACCAAACTAAATCATATACTTTTCTCTCTTCATTTTCATGATTGATTTATGAGTCAGTATTACCTTGGTCTGATCCTGAGCTCAATTTTGAATATCGCCTGTTGAAACTCAGATCTTTTCCATGACATACAACATTAAGGATGTTTTTAGGTATTTCCAAGACAGTCCACCCTCCCAGGAAACCCATGCCCCATGCTTCTAAAGCAGGTTCAGACACTCTGTCACTATATTGAATGCTTCTTATTCTAGACAGATTTTTTTTGTCTTGCTTTTTCTCTTTCCCCTCCCAGTGGTTTTCCCAAATCACAGACCCTTCTCTTGATGTCAATTGTACAAATCTCTCTAGGCCACATGCTGCTTTGAGGGTGAGGCTGGTTTTAGTTAAGACCGTAATTGTCAGCAGTAGGGTGGGAGCAATGCAAGTCCACATCTGCTAAGCTCCTCTGTACTTTGTTGTTGAATTCCACCAATTATGCCTGAAGTGTTACAAGTTTGCATGCTTTTCCCATAGGCGAGCCAGAAGGCAAGATGTCAAATATGGAGACCCCGTTGCACAATGCTGGGATGTGGAAGACAGTGAGTATTTTGCACCTTTCTTGCTCTTCTGTCACTCTGACAACAGGGTTTGCTGCAAGGGTCTCTGTCTGCGAAAACCTGCTGAGCTTGACAGAATAACAATGTTAAAGCAGTTGCCTTTCCCATATGTCATATATATTACCTTTCCCACAGTCAAATTTAGGGATCCAGGGCTGATAAGGGACATCCCTGGAAGTGTTCAAGGCCAGGTTGGATGGGGCATTGAGCAACCTGGTGTAGTGGAGGGTGTCCCTGTCCATGGCAGGGGGATTGGAACTAGATGATCTTTGAGGTCCCTTCCAACCCAAACCATTCTATGATTCTATGATTCTGTGACACAAGTCCCAAAGCTCAGATCCAGCTGCCAAACCAGCCCCTTCCCCTCCCCCGCAGCTACTTAAATACTCCTGTTATTAACAAGAGCCTACACTCCGTCTCCTTATGGGCTCCCCCTCTCCCTTTCCCACACCCTCTTTTCAGATGCCAAAGGGTCTGGTTTGCTCCTTTGGCAACGGCAGCGCTTCTCTGACAGCGAGCCCTGTCAGTATGACATCCTGCGGTTAGGCGGCGATCTCTGCAGCAGCACAAAATAAATGAAAAGCATTCAAAACCAGGCTGGGGTTTGTCTGGGGCTCTGCTCGCCGCTCATTAAAGCGAACAACCCAGTCAAAACAGTATCGATTTTATTGCTGCGTGGAACATTTGATGCAGGATGAGCCACCGTTTTCCATTGATCGCTGGTTATTCTCGTGCTGCCGTGGTGCTGGGTGCCTGCCGCAGACCTCGGCGTGGACCGCTGCAGAAATCAGATCTGCTTGCCACAGGATCAGAGACTTAAGTGTGCCGGACAGTATGGAGGGCTCTGACTGTATATGTGCACTCGCAGACGTAGTTAAAAGTCAGAGTAAAATCTCATTTCCATTAAAGTCAACGACAAAACTCCTGTTCATTCCCAAGGGCCAGAATTTCCTCGCTTGCTGCTTACCACGGCTCTCCAAATAGTGGTATCTGAGACTGTGCAAAGCTCAAGGTTATAGCAACCCTAGCAGAAAGGCTGACAATGTCACATTTTCCTGGAAGGATAAAGAGATACTGGAAGAGTTGGCTTTACTAGGCAAATGTAAAATGACTTAGCACAGACGTTGGTATTAATCCTCTGCCTTGATGTAGGCCCAACAATAGAAATTTTATCCAGCTAGAGAAGACTCCTATGTGCCATAAAACCATGAAGCTGACCTGTGCTACTCCCAGCTCTTGGCTTATTTGTGCCATTTGCGATAATTAATAACATTATGGCCAAGAATCTATTTAAATTCAGTGCTCCACTGTGTCAGATTCCCTCCCAGAGACTTCATTGGCTGCATTAAGTTGTTTGGCTCTACTGAAATCTCAGTGGCACAGTGAAATAAAAGGAAAGCATTTAATGCAGAGAGCTTGAATTTCTGTAGATCTCATATAGATACTTATTATACTGAACAAACAGTCCAAAATTGTGCTCATTTTGTTGTTGAGCTAACTTTTGATTTAAGAGACATCGCTGCTTTCATCTTTCTTTCTGTTATTGGCAGGGTGTAAGAAACAGCTTTAGTATGAAGGTAAGGCATATAAGACATAGGTATGACAAACTGGAAAGGGAAATGGAGATGTAGAGATTAGAAATTACTTTCTTGGGTTTACAGAAGGCCAAGAAAGGAGCCCAGATCTATGCATGGCTACTTCAGCGTTTGATCTGAAATATACTGTAGGGCATTTCCAGTTATGCTGAAGGAAGGTAAACTTCAATTTATTTTAGGTCTGTGACTCTCTTTAAAGTGTTTGGGATGAACACACCAGACCGTCCAATCTACCTTTAGTGGCTGCTACACCTCTCTCAGGTTTAGTATTTACATTACTTAAAGGAAAAATACAGGTCAGGTTTTAAATTCCTCAAAGGTGAAAGCCTCAACTTTAAAATGGAGCAATCTCGTGATATAGATTTTATTGACCTCCTTAAAAACCAGTTGCACTGAAGGAGCGTTAGCAGTCACCTCTAAATCCTCATAGTTATAGTAGTTTAAGTTAAAAGTTAAGTTTCCTTTTGCTTTTTTATAATTCACTCAGTCTTATAGCATCTGTTCTGAATCAGGCTATTTTCCCATTGCTTTAAAAACCAGGTCAGGGTTAATCTCCTGTACCATGTTTGCTTTCCAGGCATTAGTCATGAAACTGCTGATGAAAAGGTGATTTTTGGCATTGAATTTAATTCAACTTTTCTGGAATGCATTCCTAAGTCCCAGCAAGCCTCTATTAGGTGGTATATTCAGCGCTCTGGAGAAGAACATCGAGAAGAGGTAAGTTATAGTCATCAAGGCAAGTTTCCTCTATAGAGAATTCAGCTGAGCATTGAAAGGCAGGAGTTATTGGGATTAGTTGATATTTTACTTTTCCTTGCCTCACCTTAGGTATCACATAGCATTCTGGTATCACCATTTGGGACATGCAGTGGGGAAGAGAGAAGCCATTTGCACTGTGTCATAAGCAGATTTAGATATTTATTTTGACTTACATGCTCATTCTGCTAAAAAAAAAAAAGAGAAGATAAATTAGGCTTTAAATAGTGGTAAAAAATCAAAGTATTGGGAAAAAAACCCTTTTGTCCAGTAATTAACACAACGACTACTTCTGCAGATAAAATTATGTTTAAAACCCTTTGTTTTAATAAAATCTCTGCTCCTTTTAGTTTCTGATTGCATTCGCTTATCATGTTAAGCAGTGTAGGTAAAAATTGCATGTATGGCTTGCTACTTCTCTCCATCTCTCCCCGGAGAAGGAATGGTCTGTGCAGTAAAAAGCTTTTTATTTGCTTTTTTCTTGCTAGTGGAGTCTGAGAATTTTTCTTAAATGGCACTCTGTGCTGATGCGGAGATGTCAAGTTAAAGAATTTCACCTTGCATCTGGAGTAGAAAGCGATGACAATTGTGGTGGCCTTTAATTCCTGCAGGAGGCAGGTTTAGGATCCTCACTGGTGGAGAAGCCCTGGAGAAGCCTCCAGGTCCCCGCATACCCCCTGCACA